ATCCTGAGGACAACTGTAGATGGAGACAAACAGATGGGTTGAATGGTCACTCTCCAAAAACACATAGGAAGAGCCAGATTTTTAGCTCTTTCTTAAAGGCTGTTAGGGTGGGGGCTTGCCTAATCTCACCAGGTAACGAGTTCCAAAGCCGGGGGCCACAGCGGAGAAGGCTCTCTCCCTTGTTCCCACAAGTCGAGCCTGTGATAGAGGAAGGGGCAAAAGGAGTGCCTCTCCAGAGGATCGAAGAGATTGTGCAGATTTATGGTAGGAGATGCGGTCACAAAGGTAGCTGGGTCCCAAATCGTTCAAGGCTTTATAGGTGATGACTTGCACCTTGAATTGGGACCGGAAGATGAACGGCAGCCAATGGAGCTCCTTAAACAGAGGGGTTGAACAGGGGGGTTGATTCCATTCCATATTAAAAAAAAGGTATAGCAGTATAACACTATTATTCTCGCTTAATGAGGAATACTTTCATCTCCCCTTTGTTGTAATGTGATTAACTATTTTAGTTATATGTATGATTGCTTCATTCATTAAATGGTGAAGGAATATAATGTCATCCAAATAGTGGGCTGCGTGTCGCCTCCTCCTATCACTCTCATTCTTTCTTGTAGGTCAGAATACATTTTTGTATCATAATCCCAAATCTTGTAGCATTCAGATGGCTTTAACAGTAATTAAAGTTATGATTTTAGTTATGAAAAACAATAGTAGAAATTATAACTTTAGGCAAGTGTTTAGCACCTTTGATGGTTCCTTCAAATTTAGGGTAAAACCTAGTGCAGATTTACAGCCCGATCAGCATGAGAACTACTAGCCAACTGTGTTAGAAATACTGAAGACAACAAGATTCAACTTTTAGCTTTTAGTCCTGGATCACAGTGATGGGGAGCAATTTTGTCCTTGATCTCAGGCAACAATATATACCAGAACAGTTGTGACTATAGTTTCCATAATCATCTAGTAGCATGCTGAGAGTTTAATTTGAGCCAAGATGTTACACATGTCTCCCACTGCCGTTTGAAATTCTCCAGTTTCAAGAAGTTAATGCTTTAAAGTTAAATATATAACTTACCATTGTTACTTATTTGTAACTCTGTGTGATCTGACTGGACTGCTACCTTTTGAAAGCAAAAATAATGGCAGTGTAAAAGAATCTTAGATAGCCAGCACAGTGTACAGGAAGACCCCACGTTATGAACAAGATAAGTTCTATAGGTGTGTTTGTAAGTTGAATATGCATGCAAGTTGGAACAGGTACATTTTTAAAAGTGACTTCTGACACACACACTGTTTTTAGCTTTGGATAGCATAGGCACGGGTTAACACCCCTGTGATGTTTGTTTTGTTGTCTGTGCCCGTTTGGAAGATTTCACCTCACTTTCTGTCCCTGTGATTATTGGATTTAGAAAAAAAAATGGTATTTTGTGGAAACAAGGATTGGTAATAAAGCTTCTGTTAAGACACTTTTTCCCATGATAACTTTTTCAGGAGTGAATCTCTCTTGCTAAGGGTAGATTTTTCTTACTTCCTGGATGTAACTTGGGGAGTGCCTGTATTCGTTTTTTTTAAAAAAATGTCTTTATTGAGATTTTCTTATTACATGTTAAAATAGGTAGGAAGGGTAGAAGTAGGAATAGAAATAGATAGGATAGTGGGACCGGTTAAAAGGTAAGAAGGGAGTGCCTGTATTAGTTTGAGCAGGGCTGGAATCTCTGTTTGGCCTGGAAATGAGAAAAGTCACACACTCAGCTTCAGAGAAAGGCACTGGAAAATATAGAATCATAGAATTGGAAGAGACCTCATGGGCCATCCAGTCCAACCCCTTGCCAAGAAGAAGGAAAATTGCAATCAAAGCACCCCTGACAGATGGCCATCCAGCCTCTGCTTAAAGGCCTCCAAAGAAGGGGCCTCCACCACACTCGGGGGCAGAAAGTTCCACTGCTGAACAGCTCTCATAGTCTGTTCTTCCTAATCTTCAGGTGGAATCTGAACAAATCTTACCAAGGAAACCCAGTGATAGCTTTACCTTGTTGTTGTGTGTTGTTGTTGTGTGTCCTCAAGTTGTTTCTGGTCTATGGCAACAGCAAGGGGATCTTATCATTGGGCTTTCTTGGCAAGATTTGTTCAGAAGATATTTGCCACTGCCTTCCGCTGAGGCTGAGAGTGTGTAACTTGCCTAAGGTAACCACAGTGGGTTTCATGGCCATGCAAGGATTCAAACTACAGTCATAGTCCAATGCTCAAACCATTACACCAAACACTGTAAGTCAGAAATGGCTTGAAAGCACACAAGAAAAAAACTCCTAAAGTTACTAAAGTTCATAATAATGTATTATTAGTAGTTTAATTTTAATTGTTTTAATCAATGTTTATGTTTTTAACTATACTGGGCATATTTTAATCTGGAAATCGCTTAGAGCCCAGTCTTAGATAAATGGCATAATTTTGATGATGATGATGATGATATAGAAGAGTATCATTGTTGAGTCACTTGTCTATTTCTGCTGTGTTGGGCTCTGCTAAGGACAGCAAACTCTATTTAAAATATATTCAATTTAGCTTACAAAAAAGAAAATATATATACAGGACTACTAATTTTGGATATTTCACTGTTCGATGTGATTATGGTCCTGCTTTTACACACAGCTTTTTTAATAGTTGATATCTTAAATGTATTCTCATTTTGAGCCTGTATTTTCTTCTCTGAGTTTAGTTAACAGTGCTAAAGGAGCACATGGCTTGTCCAGCAGGCACTGTTAGTAAGTGTTTGCTGCCACCTATTGTTCAAAGACAATGGAGAATGCAGATACACCAGTAATTACGAAACATTATTTACATAGAATGTTTTTTGTTAAGTCAAGGTATGTCTTCTTGTGCACTGAAACGTACATACTAGAGTATGAAATAAAGCACAACCTTTATGTACAACTACATTGGTATCGCGAGGATGTTTTAATAAATAAATTAGCAGGAAATTTTAGGAATAGAAAAATACATGTACAAAAAGAATTATACAATATGATACTTGCCATATTGAGAAGTCCCAAATTCTCATGTCCCCTACAGTGATCTACACTGTAGAATTAATGCAGCTTGACATTAGTCTTTATCTCCAGAATGAAGGAGAACCACTGGTGAGCACCCTTTCGGTTCAGCTGGCTCATTATGAAATCAATAGTAGCATTGTCTAGCCCATATTTTATATGCTTCTTTTGCAATAATAATAATAATAATAATAATAATAATAATAATTAGGAGACCTTGTCACCGGACTTACTGACATCAATGTATGCTTCATCCGCATCATTCCCTTCCATCTATCAAGCTTGTAACGCTATTGAAAAAAAGGTAAGTTTGGCATGACTTGTTTTTGAGAAATTCATGTTGGTTTTTAATTATCACAGCATGTTTTTCTAAAATGCTCTTGTTACATCTCGAATAGATAACTGCAATGCACTCTACGTGGGATTGCCTTTGAGGACTGTCTGGAAGCTCCAAGTAGCCCAATAGGCAGCAGACGGATTTCTCACTGGAGCAACGAACAGGCATAAGTGCCTAAAGCCAACTGCTAGTCCTAAAGAAATTAGACCCAATGAATCCCACTGCTATATGGCAAGTGAATAGATGTGGATGCCTATGAGTCAGTTAGTATATTTGACACAACTATAACTTCAATTAAGAGTTTAAAAAGCCAGGTTGGTACTATCAACAGACTCCTACATTTTGCAAGGTAAGGACAGCATGTTTGCTGGGCCTACATTCACTGCTTCTTATGCACACAAAATGCTAATTAGCATTTCACAAACACATGAATCTGAAATTCACCCAGGGCAGAATCTTGGTTGTTCTGATGGCCTTCCACATTTAGACTCAATCTGGGGAAAGGGGTAGCTTATTTCAAACATTATAAGGCAATTTTGAAAGTAATGTATAATTTTGTTGTTAACCGCCACCAAGACGAATACAATTTATTTCGATCCTAAGAATGAGAGCCCTGTTCAGGTTTTCCAAAGTCAGGGTCATGGCTTATATAAAAATATATTTCAGATAATTAAATAAACTCAGATTTAGACATGGATACTTTTTTTCCTAAGCAAGGTGGCATCTAGTTCTAGCTACATTTGAGCTTCTGCTCTAGTTCAGATGTAATTATACTTGCTGCATTATATGGCTCAACTAAATTAAAGTTGGGCTGGTGTACTTCCATCTCTTTGTGAACCACCAAAGAAGCTTCACCTGTTTTGAAGCAAATTACAGTTCCCTCTTATGCCTTCAGGAACAGGAGTTTGTTATAAGTCAGGATCAAACTATGGTTTCAGACACTGGCTTGTTCTCAAGTTAAAGAACAAGCAAAGTTCACTTCCCCAGGTTTAGGTACATTGTCATATTGAGATTCACTAAAAAGCTGAAGTAACAAGTCCCAATATCCTTGTACCACTCAAGAGGAAGGAAATGCAGAAATGTCTGATCCACTTAGGAAACCAGTACCTCCTGTCACATCTGCACTAGGTGTTTGAACATACCCTTATCAACCACATTTACAGAAGCTAGATAGGACAAGTAAGAAGGTTATTAGAGAACTTACATTCAAACTTATTTTCCACTGATTAAGCTGACACTTCAAGTCTTCTCTCAGGTTTTTATGATCCAAAATGTAATCATTTTTTCTGTTTTCTAATGTTTGCCACCAATTCAGTGTTGACTTATGACAACCCTATGACTGAGACTTCCATTCTCTACTCTACTCAGGTCTTTCAATCTCAGGATGGTGGCTTCTTGAGTTGATCCCTTTCCAATGTGATCTTGCTGCAGCTTTTCACTTTCACAATGAGTCATGTTGTCTCACGATGTGTCCAAAGTGAAATTGCTTTAGTTTAACTATCTTCTGATGGGAGGCCTCATATGCTGTTTTGCATTTAAACCATCTTGTAAAATTCCAGTAAGAAAAGTTTATTTCTTCTGGTGGTAAAGAATGAGACATACACCACTTGAAGTTTGCTTTTAGAAGTTTTATTCCAATTCAGTAATATTTGCTGTTTTAATATATTATATAAACTGTATAAATAATGTTATTTCCAGAGTTCAGCTTTAGTAGTACTAAATGAATCAAATAGTATGCATCAATTGTACACTGCCAAACGTTTACAAAAATGAAGACCTTCTTAAGAAAGGATAGTGGTTTTTATTGCATTAGAAAACACTGGACTATGAAAGATATAAAATCAATTGTAAATAATTCAGGGGGTCTTTTTTTCTTTTTTTTTACAATCCTTATGCTGATTTATTGTTAGGACTTCTAATGTTCTGTTCAAAATACATAAAAATTTTACATGCCTTGATGCAAATATTGTATATGTCCAAACCAAATGTTGTTAGCTGAAATTGCAAAACAGAAGTTTTACCTGAGATTCTTGTATATTAAAATTTCCACTGATGTCCATTCTTAATATCTGCAAGCGGGTAATATATTGTTTCAGTGTTTGCATGCAACCTGAAATATCACTGTACAAACTTCCCAAGAGGTAGCTGAATGGGTCTTAAGCCACCTCAATTCCCCCCACCCTAATCTCCACTGCCCACAATCAAATCTAGAAACTAGGCATATTTAACAATTCCTATAAGAATTTGAATTGAAATGAAGATTCCAATTCAGATGCAAAATATTTATTAAGCAAGGCTCCCTTTTATTATTTTCCTGGGCAGTGATCCAGTCTTCCTTGTGTCTTATTGTTTAATTTTGTGAAACAAAAACTTGAATCAAGACTGTTCCTTTCAACTTCAGCACTAGTCAGTCCACAGATATGAGGTGGCAAATGCATGGCCATCCAGATATTCTTGAAGTGCAACTCCCATCAGCCCTAATGAAAACAGCCAATGAAGAAGGATGGGAGTTGCATTCTATAACATCTAGAGGACCATAGGACTCCCACCCATGACATATGCAGAAAATCCAGTTTCTAGAGACATTGTTCAGAATGCACAGTGTTGATACCTATGATTTTCAAAAACAATAATGTCAATATTACAACCTTTCAAAATAAAATTAAACTCAGGGTACAGATAGGGAGTGGAGAAACTGTGGCTGTTCAGATGCTGTTGAATAAATTTGGCACTGCAAACTGATTTGTCCAAAAAGAACGGGGTGGAGAAATAGGAAAGTACTGATTCCTAGAAAAAATGGCATGTGTCCCTGCTAAATGCACACAACACCAAACAAAGAAAAAGAAAAAGGTCACCGAAATCTGTGTTAAGAATCAGTCCCTAAATTATCACAAAAAATGAACATAAGTAGAAGAAACAAAATGAACTTAGAAAGGAACTTCCACAATGAAGTCAAAGGTCTGTACACTGTAAATTCTTAATGCTAATTTCTGAATGATTTTGAAATCACTCTATGAGGTAGTGTAGGTTTCTGTAATACGTGCTGGTTATTAAAAGTACTGTTCAGATGATGCATTTGACCAAATGTTCACCATGTATGTTTACATTACATTTTCTAAATGTAAGTTTATTTTTATAGAAATGTAATCATTTTAAACTAAATCAATATTTTTGCATTTTAGAGGAGATAGGAGATTCACTATTCTAAACTTCTGCAAAGTAAACAATTATAGAAAGAAGATCGTATTCCAAACACAGATATAAAACTGATGTCTGTACTGAGGTAGGAAGTGAAGAATTCCATTGGCTTTTACAGTCTGTAAACCAGCATAAGTGTTTTGAGGTTCAGTAGATAAAGCTTCTGTTGTTAAGAGCAGTTGTTAGTATAGATTTTCCTGTAAGTACTACAATGCAGAGCAGCCTATAGTAAAATGATCTATTTGCTTATTTTATTAGCTAAAGTTGCTGAAGAATCAAAGTGGCTCATTTCTAAAAATAAAATAAAATAAAATAAGAAAAACAGAAGTACATGCCATTGAAAACTGAGTTTGAACAGTTAGTTAGATTTACCCATAAAAGTATAAATTTGATATAATAGTTTTCAAATATAGGTGAACTGGTCCCACTATCAATGGTAAAAACTGAGATCCTTCAAAAACACTTGCTCAGTATGATTCTCTGTATGACAACTGCCTATCAAATTTGAAGCAGGAAGTACACATTTCCATGATTATGGAAATGGAAAGGCATAAATCTGTTAAGAATCGGCATGGTCTCAAATGTGGAGTTTGTTTCCAAAATGGACCAAATCCATAAAAATTGAATAATCAGTTATAAGTGGCAGTACACTATTGGCTAGGAGTAGGCTATCATGTACAGATCAAATAAAAAAGTATCAAATCACTTTGGTACTTAGTTTGGAAAATTGCTTTTTACAGTAAAAGAATGCATATCCTCAGCACGATTTTTTTCAATTCCTTTAAAATTTGTTCAGATGAATTTGGTACCTTCTGGAAATAAGCTTCACAACTGCAATGGCCTCACATTTCAAAAATGTGAGCTTTTACCATATTTCTTTGTTTTTAACACACCGAACTCAAGAGTTCTAGGAGCATTAAATATGTGAAAGGTTTTTATTCAATGCACTTGCAAGTGAAAGTATCTAAACTTCAGGAATTCCCTTTTGCTTCTGATAAGGCATGTTGCGAAACTAGGACAGCATTTTCGCCTAATAAAGGTATTACCGCCATATGGATTTTGATATATCTGCTTAAAAGAAATTAGATGTGAAAGGGGATGATGCATAATTAAAAAGAAATCCATATGCCTATATGGAAAAGCCTACCTTTCTACTTAATGACTAGTGCTTCAATCCTGCTAGGCTGAGTTGGATAAAAAGATTATTCATCTGTAGTGCATTTATCAGTCATCTGTTGACAAAAATCTGTTATACCACTACTACTTTGCACACACTGCTCTAAACACAAGGTTTTGTCAGCTATCCTTACTGGAACTGGACACAATTCTTGCACTTGATCATATCCTGCATCAGATGCTCCTTTTACATGCTGATAACTGGAACTCTGCTCATTAGGAGATGCAACAGAAAGACCAGCAGATAATTCAACACACAGTGGCACTGCAGGCATGGTATCAGAAGGCTCTGATTGTTTCCTCTCTGGAATAAAAAATGAAAGCGGGCAATCCAAGGAAGAATATTTTGCAAGAACCTGTATTTGCTCGTGACTCAGGGCTGCTTCATTGCATACTTGTTTACAAAGTCCTGTCAGATTCTGCTTTGTTTCCACCAGTGTCGACAAGATGTGCTTGTTCTCCTTCAGCAAGTTCTCTTTTTCATGTTGCTGCAGGAACACAAAACAGAACTAAGTTCAATATTTTCCTATGTTCTGAAAGACAGGTTTTTCTAAAAGCGAAGTTATATTTCACAACTTATCTGCAGCTGTTTTGAATAATGTGACAACAGATGGCACTAGGTGGCATTATGTAAACACAAGGAAATGTGTTCGCTAGGATGCTAAGAATACTATATATGTGACTGTTTAACATCCAAGCAGCTTTCTGGTAATTTAATATAATGGGTTGCATTTCTAAAAGGGTGCTGCAATGTGATTCAATTCTCAATATTAGAGCAGGGGTCCCCAAACTCTTTAAACCGAGGACCAGTTCAGTCCCTCTGACTGTTGAGGGGGACAGACTATAGTTTGAAAAAAAACATGAATGCACACTATACACACTTAACACATCTTATTTGTAGTGTACAAAAAACCCTGAAAGGATACAATACTTAAAACGAAGAATAATTTTTACCAATATTTCAATGGGTCTGCTTTTGGCTGATGAGATAGTCAAGTTAATTAAAATTGTTGTTGTGTGCCTCCAAGTTGTTTCACTCTATCACAGAGTTTTCCTGTCAAGATCTATTCAAAGGGGATTTGCCTTTGTCTTCATCTGAGGCTGAGAGAGTGTGACTTGGCTAAAGTCTCTCTCTTCCTCTTTCCCTCTTTGTTGTCTTTCTCCCCAATTCCCTTTCTTGCTTCAATTCTTGCCTCTTTTCTCCTTTTCCTCCCTTCCACGGTGATGTGTTAAGTGGGGACAACGTAAAGGAAACAGGGTGGTAGGAAGGGGATGGTAGAGGCACAGGAATGGTGGTGGGGGGCAGATAAATGACCTTGTTGGGCTATAGTTTGGGGATTTAGAGAATCTGAGGTATTAGGAAAGGAATGTTACATGTCGAAGACCCAGTCAGTGAACAGTGTTCTCACAAACACTCACATTTCTGGAACAATTTTCTGTCATAATTTGAAAACTATATAACCAATTAACTATTAATGTTCCTGACAATTTCTGTGACTTGTAACATAATTATTTCCTTTCAATCGGTCATACAGATTGTGTATACTGAATCTCTTCTAGGGAGTCATGCCAACTTATAGTTATATTTCTAAAGAAATGGGCTAGCATATCTTTATTGTTTGAACCTTTTTAGAAATAGAAATAAAAATGCAAAGAAAACATTGATCTTCCAATCTAGATTAGGGTCTATCTCTGCTTCTGGGAAAGTATGTACTCAGAGGAAAGAGCGCTTGCTACATCATTACTACAAATGACTCAGCGACTGCTGCACTAGGCAGGCTTATGAATCATTCTCTCGCAAAGCAATTTATTCTGTTGTCAGGCAACCACATTCCAGAAGTCAGGGGCAAATATAAACCCCAGATACAACATTCTTTCAGAAGCTAAAATACACCAGAACTATAGTTTCGTGCACATTTTTCAATATTTCATCCATTTAGATAGTTCTTATCAGCCAGGTTTTTATCTCCTATAATAAACCTGAGAAAAGACTTCTTGAAAAACTTTATCTTACTCTACCACCAAAACCCCCTGAAGGCAATTATCTATCCAGATAGATCAGGTTTTTAGTTGCAATTGCTTTACTATGTCTGAGAACAGAAGTGTTTTTTGTTATCACCAGCATTAATTGTTTTACCTGACTATTGTTGACGTATTATTTATTTCATTTTAAATGCATATCTGTTATGCTCTTAATGGATGTAAATGTAGTCTAAAAGAGTTTTAAATGAATACAGTACAAATGGGCATGCACCAGCAGGAGTGTTAACATGAGATGAAATAAAAGAATTACAACTACAAACCGCACTCCTCTTCCACTCTAACATTACAGTTAACATTACAGAAATTTCCTGACACAGAAGCAGCACAGAATATTATTGTACTGAAGCTACTGCTCTGACTAGCCAAACAGAAAAGATTCATGGCCAAAGAGATATTCCATGGAATTGGAGAGAAGTGCTCGTATTGAGGTTGCCAACTAATCTTTGAAATGCCCTGCTATTTTCAATGAAGCCCTCCCTTTAAATGTTTGCAGGCAAGTCATTGTTCACTCAAAATTTCTCTATAAGGAAGTGAGGCTGGAAATCTGAGAATGCTGAAAAGGAACAGCAAATATATTTACTTACAACCACGTTCAAAGGAATTTAAAGTGATAACAAAAGTGATATAAATCAGGATTAAATCAAAATTTGAATCTAAAAATCTCCCAATACATACCAGTTTCTCTATTTCAGATTCAAGGTTTTGAATGCAATCTAACTTTCGCTTACGACAGCGCTGTGCTGCAATTCTATTTTTACTCCGCCTTCTAATATCATGGATACAATCCAGCTCTTCTGGTGTCAATTTGTGCATTTTTAGAAATGACTGAAAGTCATTTCTAGAAAGTGAAATTATCTTCTGTGGATTCATTGGCAGCTTTATCTGGAAAGTAAATATAGTTTTAGATGCAGTTCTGAATCATAATATTTGCATATATTATTCTGTTTAAAATAGAGAACCCATATTCTAATATTAGTCACTGATGGTGAGCTGAGCAACTTGTAGCTTTTCAGATATTAGACTAAAACATCTATAATCCCCCACAAATAGCTATCCTAGATATGACTGACAGAAGTAGCAGGAATTTAGGTTACAAGTCTATGATTTATCTGAGCAACCCTAAGGTCCAAAATAAAATTAAAAAAACTTCAAGACTTGTCTTCCAACCTCTATAAACTATAGAGCTTTTCTTAAAGTTACAACATTGCCAAGCATTCTAAAACCCACCTACAGGTTAGCAATGATAATTAAAACACTTCTTTTCCTGAATCTTGGTGATACACTAAAATCGTGGTTGAATTTTTTCAGGATCCCAACATACGCTAATCTCAAGCATGTTATCCCTGCACTTTTTCATAGCTGTTGTGGCATAATTTTTTCATTCTTCTGTGTCACTATCTATGCCTGCTGACAAAAACCATTACAAGATTCTTTATTTATATATATATATATGGATCTAACATTCAAAGCACAGGGTGAGAAGTGATGTTCTGACTGTCAAGCTTACCATAGCAAGACATTTCTGTGAATGTATGTCGTTTCTATTGCATCCATTTTGAGGACTTTAAAAAATAACTATATGGTACTTTAAACATCACATGAAATTTTACAGCAGTTTCAAGGTGCTACAGCAACTTATAAATAGCAGAGATTTCCAAAGTTGAAGGTCTTAGGGCTTGGAAGTATTAAAGTAGTGAAAATCTGGTGTAAAAGGAAAATACAGATCTGTAGCTTACTGCCATAATCGGTAGGATAGTTGTAAGGGTATTAAACTAGACATATCATTATTCAACTTGCTGATTTGAACACATTCTAAATTAGAGGGAATTCAGCAGTCATTGAAGAGAAATGGTTGGAAGAAATAAAATTCTGATCCAGGTTGCTCTACTTCATGACAGAGGAGAATGATCTGCACATTCTAAAAATGGCTGGAGGAGCAATCCACAACTAGGTGAGGCAGAAGACTCAAGGTTTCTATTCTGTTTTATCTGTTCACTCTTCTCTCTTCCTCAACACTTTCATTTTTCTGCCTTGTCAGCCAGTTGAGTTTTTCGAGTTCTCTTCCTCTTTCCTTTCTCTAAAGCAGTGGTTCTCAACCTGTGGGTCCCCAGACGTTTTGGCCTTCAACTCCCAGAAAGCCTAACAGCTGGTAAACTGGCTGGGATTTCTGGGAGTTGTAGGCCAAAACACCTGGGGACCCACAGGTTGAGAACTACTGCTCTAAAGCTAAGTATGAAATATGGGTACTGATTTGACAAAAAAAGCCCAAAATCTCAAGATTTAGATGGCTTAAGAGAACTCTGCTTGTCATCTGAGAAAAAAAGAAATAGCAACCAGAGGACAAAGTTATTTCAGAAGCACCCCTCAAGACTGCAAGTATGCAGGAGGTTTGTGTGGAAGAGAAATTATGTCTATATACTTCCAGAAAGAAACATGGTTCAGAGCAGGCTCAAGACAGGTAGCCAATAAATATTCCAAAATTAGTTTTCAATTATTTAAATCCAATGATATCCCAATTTTTGAAAGAAAAAAGACCACCAGGAAGGGGGAAGAGGAGGCAACAGACTTGGGAATATAGTCAGAAATGTTATTATTGTTCATAGGTTCCAAGAAGAAATTTATATTTTGCTTCAGGAAATTATTGTTTTTAAAAAAGAGCTTCAAGCAAGGGCAAACCTAATGCAAAATTGGTGGTTTATCTTATAATCATTTATTTATCTATCTATCTATCTATCTATCCTATCTATTAAGAGTATTTATATTTCACTCTTCTCACCCCACAGGGGACTCAGGGTGGATTACAGTGCACATATACATGGCAAACATTCAATGCCATAGACACACAACATATATAGACAGATACAGAGGCTATTTAACATTCCAGCTTCATGAGGGTATGGTTTTATTCCACCAGGGGACCTATCACTTCACCGTCCACTTGTGACACCGATGGAGTACTTCTTCATTCTTCTGCACGCTGCTGGAGACTTTTATGGTGTCATAAATTAATTAAATTAGCCTCCCCGCAAATGGTTGCGAGTTTACTCTGACCTGGGCTAGCTTCGAACTCATGACCTTTCGATCAGTAGTGATTTTAATGCAGCTGACTCCTAACCAGCTGCACCACAGCCCGGTCCAGCATGTGGCAACTTTATCTAGATGGCTATTTTAGAAGTATCCTTAGTTGTAGAGGAGAGGGACATACGTTAAAGTTAACACAGACTATGATGCAGAACACAGCCAAGAATAGTGTTTTTTTTCCCCCTCTCACCCTCCATTTTCAGATGCTACATGTCTTGCGTAAACTCAATTACTCAAAGAAAGCCAATTAATAATAATAATAATAATAATAATAATAATTATTATTATTATTATATCCCGCTTTCTCCCCTCACTGGACCCAAAGCAGCTTAGAACATATTAAAATCATAAAAACAACAATCCATATAAAAAAATCCAAACCAGTAAGACAATAAATAAGTATAAACATCTTAAAATGAGCAATATAAAGCCAAGCTGATCTCAAGAGAATTTACTTTCAGACAAATGTGTTTAAGATTGCAAATTATTTAAGACACATAGCTGTCACTCAAAATAACTTAACCGCATTTAAAGGAGAGTGAAGGGAAGAAAGTCTTAATACTCCTTTTTTAATTTGGGAAGAGAATAAAAAGGGTTATCAAACAAGACATGAAATGAATGCTTTGTACAATCTCACCTCACATTCTTGTTCTCTGGCAGAACAGGATTCACTATCGCCCTCAGTATCAGTTTCAGAGTCTTCTTCCAGGTTTATCACACAGGGATAAGGGCATTGTTCAGGTTGTGGTTCTGAAACACAATCTCCAGACTCAGTACTGTTTTCATTACTGAGGTTACTGATGAAAGGGCAAGTAACGGAGCTCAAAGTTGCAAAAGTTCTTGGAGGACCATGCTCAGGGCTGTCACTAATCTGGATGCCTAACCAAGGACACTCAGTTTTCTTTTCAGAACAGCCTTGCTCTGAAAATTCTTTCACTGAGGCAGGAGACAGGTTTACTGGGCAGGCTGCATCTGTGCTGTAAACATCACTCCAAAAACCTTTTGCAAGTTGTTCAGCTATCTCCCTCTCCACACTGCTGCGGTTGTTAGGTGAAGCACTATTCATGTCTTCTCTGTCACACAATTGAGATTTCAAAGGTGAGCTCTCCTCAATGCTTTCACCAACAGGTTGGCAATCCCCAAAATTGCTGGTGACAATTCCATTTTTTTCTGCTACCTCTGAACTGCTCTGCATGCCTCCTTGCATACAATATTGATCATATGGATTTAAGAAAGAAGCAGGACATGCTCCATGAGTGGCAATGGAAGAATTGTGGGGATCAAAAGCACAATCCATTTTCTCTGAAGCAGAGCCAATGCTTTGGAATGCAGAGACTGTTTCTTTCAATAACTCTTCTTTCCCATCATCTTCCATTTTTACCTGAGCATTGGCACATTTTGAATCTGAATGCACAGCTACACATTCAAGGGTTTTTTGTATAGCACCACTTGCAATTGCATCAGTTTGATAAATGCCTACAGCAGACGTTACCTGAATTTCTTTAATACTTGAACTAGACTCAACAACTGGGATTTTATCAGTTCCTAAAGCTTTTTGAAACTTCCTATATTTGGGACATTGGGTCTCTAAACCAAAGACAAATCCCTTTTCTGATACAGATCCACATGTCTGGTTAACATTATCATGCAGAAGAGGCACTTCTGCAATTTGTTCAGTTTTGGAGGCCTTCAACTGAGGGTCTTGAATGCATTCATTTTGTGAAGTATTTCCATCATCTATTTCTAAATCCCCATCATCTGCTGCATCTATTTTACAGTACTCCTTCTGACAACGTTGTTTACAACATTTCTTTTTTTGGTATTCCAGTCGGTCTGGTTTATTGTCCAGAAACTTGAATTTGAGAAACTGAAAGCAAGATTCTTCAATGTCATGTATTCCCAAGAACTCTGCACACTTGCATACTTCAGCCACATTGTCTTTGTCCAAAATAAGTTTAGAAGTATATGCAAACTGAAGCAAAGGGTCAAATCCCTTCAGTGTGATCTATTGAATAAAAGAATGCACATTAGGATTCTGCTCCCCAAAGACTGTATGAAAATATACATATATGCAATTTATAATAAATAATAATAAAACCTTTATTTTTAACCCACCCTCTCCCCATGGGGATTCAGGACGGCTTCAAAAGTAATCACTGACCTCCAACAATATTAGTGTGTCATGATTAATACTGCCTGAAAATAATCAAGACGTTTTTGGCCTCCAGGCTGCATCAAGAGTAGTATAGTGATTAGATTGTGAGTTGTAATACTAACACTCTATTCTGTTTTTCCAGATTTCACCAGGAATGCTATGCCCAGTTCTGGGCACCACAATCCAGGTAAGAGTGACCAAAATTATAAAAGGTCTGGAAGTTGTGTTCTATGAGGAGTGGCTTAGGGAACAGGATACGTTTAACCTGCAAAAGAGGAGGCATGATAACCATGTTTAAATATCTGAAATGATGTCACGTTGAGGGGTCAAGCTTGTTTTCTGTGGATCTAAAGACTAGGACATAGAGCAAAGGATTCAAATCACAGAAAAAAGAGATTCCACCTAAACATTAGGAAGAATTTTCTGATTGTTCTGATTGTTCAAATAGTGGTCTTTGCTGCCTTGGATTGTGGGGGAGTCTCTTTCTTTGGAGTCATCTCCATATTATAAATTCTGTATACTGTACATTCTTGTGTTACCAGGTTAAACAAAAACTTTATTTTTTTAAAAAAAATCTATTGACTTCTGAAGAAAAAGATATATGGTGAAATTTTATTTTTACTACTGTCCAAATCAGTATTTTTGATCCAGAAGTATTTGCACACATTTTATACTACAAATCTATTTCTACACCCAAGGTATACCTTATACCTTTGTTTTTAAATCATCAAGCTAAATTATATATTCTTAAGCAACCCTGGAGACCAGATTTTGAATTGATGCTATGATTCTATAAAACTCACTGAGTGACTTTGGGCAGGTCACACTCTCTCAACCATATAGGAAGGCAATAACAAACCTCTTCTGGACAAATGTTGCCAAAAAAGCCCTGTGATAAGTTTGCCTTATGGTTATCATAGGACAGAAATTAAAGCACACAGCAGCTGCAACAACAACAACAACAAGAATAAAGCAAACATGATAATTCTGGGAGAGATCTCAGGGAACAGAAATAAAAATAGAGGTGAATATGATCCCGTTCTTTGTTTCCGTGTGCCCTTAAATTTCAAACATATACCATTACCCATTGGAAGAAACAAAGGTTCTTTAGAATTAGAATACAGGTTGAGTATTCCTTATCAAAAGTGTTTTGCATTTCTTTAAAACAACAACAAAAAAACATTGGAATACTGGGACATACATAATGAGGACATTTGGAGATGGGACCCAAGTCTAACATGAAATTTATTTATGTATCATATACAGTTCATGCACATAGCCTGAAAGTAATTTTATACACAAAAACTTTAACATTAGATGGTGAATGAAACAAAGTGTATGCTGAGGCACCATACAGTAAAAGTCTCAATATCAGAGCCAGCCATGTAGACAATTATGTATTTTGTAATATTTCAGATTATAGAATTCCAGATAAGGGATATTAAGCCTATACCTGTATTTACATATATTTATATTTCATATAAACCATATACAAATAGACGGAAGGTAATTTGATACAAAAAATTAAATAATTTTGTGTATGAATCAAAAGTTTATGGATACTGAACCACCAGAAAGCAAAGATGTCATTATTTCAGACATCAATGTGAATGAATTTGGATTTAGGACCATTTTGTCTTTTAGAATGCTGGATTAGGAATGCTCAACCAGTACTACAAATTTCACCTAATCCAGAACTGGAAAATTCCCTAGCAGCCTCACCTTATAAAACTTTACATTATAAATAGAATCACTGAAGGACAGATATTCCAAAAATGATGACAACACACTACATTTCCTTTTAGCTGCAGTATCTGCTTTTAAGAAAAAACATGTTGTCAAAAATAGACTTGACAGAACAGAAGAAAACTGTTTTGCAGTTATGCCTTCTCTAACCAGTATATAATACATAACAAGACCATATACTTAATGTTCTACAGTGGCAGTGCTTATGTACAGCCCTGTTTCTTAAACTGCCGAAATGGAAACACTGTGGCTTGAACAGTGCTATCACACTATTCCTGTTGAATGCCACAGCTCAAAGAGAAAGCAAAATCCAGTTCAGTACTAGATGCTTTAATCTTTATACAAATGAAGCATCTAAAATATGCAGGTTAGGGATCAGATACAAGTCACAGCTTGCCTAACAGATAATAAATACACAGACTAACCAATTTTATCTGACTGAATATAATACCTTTTTCCATATTTATAGAGAGATTGATTTATATCAAAGATAGCCAGGATTGGCAAGTTGCCAAGTCTCCACTGACCTTGCATCACTTATATCCTACCTCTTTTGGGCTGAATGCAAGATGACATATATAGTATTGTATTTCTTCAGTTCTAAGATGCACCCTCCTCCGCCACATATAATCATCTCTAAAAACAGGGGAAGTCTCAGATTGGCAGGTGCCTGTATGTGTGTATGTAAAGCATTTTTTTCTATTGGTGATACTGAAATTAGTGTGCACCTTACAATCAACAGTGTCTTAGAACAGAAGAAATATGTTATTTGTGTTCTTCCAATCAGTATTACCTAGACTTAGGCTTGCTTCATTTCACTATGTATCTCTTTTCAGACCTAAATAAATCCTGCTTTGACAAGATATTACCATAAATATATTTGAAATTAAAACTGTCCACCAATAACCACTAGGAAGAACACTAATAAATACACACAGGGAAGCTTTTCCAAGATTTGCTATCTAGGTTCTTCTTGCTAAAGGCAAATTTGTCACACAATGCTGTCAAGGTCTTATACAAGAGTGGGATGATACAAACTTCCCCTGATGATGCTGCAGGGTACTGTAAGCATGATGATGCACTTGTGTTGCTTTGCATTAGATACCGAATCAACATGAGCAAAAAAAATTATGTTGGTTCATTGGTCATTAGTTAATTAGGTAAGAGGACAGCAAACGGTCACAGTGAGACAGGGTGCTACACCAGGAAGCAATGACACTAAATATGATTAAATGAGACTAAAGAGGACTGGCATTTTTCTCCTTTTATAGTAAGAAAGTAACTCCAAGTAGTGACAAAAATGGAAAATCAAAGCCCAGGAGTTAGAGGAAGTCCCTGCAGGAATACATATCATTTCTTGCCAGTTTCAGTTCTTCTTGCCAGTTTCAAAATTAATACAAGTGGTTAATCCAGAAAATTGATGATATGGCAATTTAGGCATCATACAGATTTCAATACGGCTCTTGCTTCTCACCTCATTGTAAGCACATCACAAGTAATCCAGTCTCTCTCACACTTTCTGTCTTTGACAAGGGAGGATTAAGTGAATGATTGTCTGGATTTCTGACAAAAACTCATGATTTTTCTTTTCTTTACAAGCTTCCTCAAACGAGAAAGGGAAACTTGTCAAAGAAACATCGACATATTCAGTAAAGAAATGTGTGTTTTCTTTAATGTTTATCCTTCTGCAAACAGGCCAGAGGCAAGGATTTCTAATTTCTTTGCTCTCAAGAAGCAGCAATACTTTGGGAGGGGGAGACTCCAGTATAATAATTAAATTCAGATGAAAAGAAACCGAAGTACCATATTTTCTGGCGTATAAGACGACCTCCAACTTTTCCAGTTACAATATAGAGCTTGGGATATACTCACCGTAAAAGACTGCCCCTCTTCCAATGTACCCCAAATTAAATTTAAAAAAACATCAGATTTCAATATGGCGATTTTCCTATTACCTTACCTTCTCCTCTGCCTCTCAGATCTCGCACATGCCCACCTGTACAGCTTCACTGTAGTCCTCAGGAGCGAGATCTGAGAGGCAGAGATGAGGTACGGTAACAAGATACAAGGGTCGGACGGGTGAAAGAGGCATTTTTTTTTCTCAGCACAGTGCCGCTCTATCTCTTTTTCCATACCCTAGGTGTCCCGGACGTTTGCAGCTTGTTCCACGTTAAGTCACTTATTTCCATGAATCCTGGTGAATGGGTTTTCTTCTACCATACTTGTACAGCGCCACCCTTGCTTTCATACGGTCGCCGCATACGGCGGGCATGTGGTCACAGCTGTTTTTGAGCTCACCCACCATATGCAGCGACTGCAGATTCTCCAGTCAGAAGTTTCAGCATCTGCCCTATAAGAAGACATATAAGACGACCTCCGACCTTTGAGAAGATTTTCCTGGATTAAAAAGTAGTCTTATATGCCAGAAAATACAGTATGACTCTCATTCGCCCAAGACTTTTGGAAAGTGTCAAGTTAGAGAGTGCCGTTTTCTTCAAATTTTATTTCTGCTGTTTTATGAGAGTCTGTTGTCGAGTCCCTGGTGGAATCTGAAAGCATTCTCTTGGCCTCAGTATTCCAGAAAATATTACAGAATTAATTTTTCTCTGATTTTCTGCTTTTTCATGTGGAAAGGTGCTTTCTCTCATTCATTCCCTTTTGCTTCACTTACTCAATACCATTCTGGAACTTCTCAATAGCTAGTTTCCATATAGTCCATGGAATATATTCCTCCTTTGTACCTCCCCATCAGAGTTTCTGCACACTTCCTTTTCCAAAGTGAGATGCTTTTCAAAGAAAAAGGAAGGTTTACACTGTAAATTGATTGTGAAATTAGAAAAAGGGGAAAGGCAACTTCAAATTCATTTCAAATTCAACCACACTTCTCTCACACATTTTGCATTCCTCACTCACACTTCTATTGCACATTCTCCTTCCAAGAGGGAAAGGAATTTTCATTTCCATTAAAAAACTTTGGAAACTAAGGCTTTCCCCTTCACAACTATACAGCTGACTTTTTGAGATAAGAGGAAAACAGTGTCCCATAGCATTATTAACTCTGGTTCAGAAAATGGGGGGGGGGGGTATTTAATTTTCAAAAAAGGACATCCCAGGGGATTCAAGCTTACAAGGATTGTCATCATCTGGTATAGAGATTTCCCAACATTTCATGTTAGTGACATCATTTTATACATGCATCATTTTACCTCACTTTAATTCAGTTTTACTAGCAAACCGGAAGGTAAAACAACCAATTATAAGAGATACGGACACATATGGACATATAAAGTGGATTTTGATGTCGAGATGAATGATTTTAATGCTTATGTATGTGTATGATTTATTTATGTCCCAGCATTGAATGTTTGCTGTTTTTATGTTTTGCTCCACCCTGAGTCCCTTTCGGGGTTAGAAGGGTGGAATATAAATGCTTTAAATAAATACATAAATTGTAATAATGAAATGTATGGGGACACAACATATATTGTGAAAGTGTGTGTGTGTGTGTGTATGTGTGTGTGTATATATATATATATATATATATATATATATATATATATATATATATATATTGCTTATTTTAAATATACTCGGAAACTTCTCATTATGTTCATGCAACACACCAAGACACTGCAGCCAACACACTAATGTGTCACAACACACAGTTGGGAAAGCTCTGTTCTGTACCATTAGCCTTTGTCTTTAGCTCTGTGACAGGATTAGGCTACCACTAGCTGGGTGAAAAGGAACTCAGTATATGTTTCAAGGCACTTTTATTATATTTTTTGCTTGCAAACAGAAATAAAAGTAGCCCACATGGGCACAATGCATGGAAGCCCAATAACAGTACTATGTATATTAGTCTGAGCAAGACTGAGAGGAACACTTAACATGAAGTAGGCAACAACAGATAAGAATGTCTACATTGGAGCTGTGGATAAACTGCAGGAGCACTTACTTCTTCAGGTAAAGTAATGATAAGAACTGGCTCCGATTGAACCACAATTCTTGAACGAAAATAGACACTGCAGGCTGCAAGCACCGAGCGATGGGCCCGAAAGCGTTGATCCTCCACTAAGATGGTAACATCGCAAAGCAGATCTTGCTTTCTCTGTTCGTTAAGACTCAGCAGGACGTTGGAACTGTGCACTGATGACTCAAAAGCAAAAACAACACTGTTCTTTTCGCTTAAAGGCATTCTGTATAACAACAGTTGATGAAGGTCTCAGAGGGAAACATGCTTTCAGTCTTCACACCTGACATAAATGCAAGAAACAAGTTTCAAAATGCTTAATAAAATCAAATAAAGTCTTATTGTACCTTTAAAAAACAGGAAAATTACACACATACATAAAACACCAACATAACTCAATAAAACTGAGCTCATCAACCAATGGTGGTAACTGCTGTAAACGTGGCCGGGACAAGGGAATGGGATAAGGGCGCAGCTGTTATCGTACATTAATACCACTTTTGCCATAGCATCATCCCATGGAGCCTTTGAGTGGTATTTATTGATGCAAATATTCTACATAAATCACAAAGCTACGTATCTCAGCATCCCACACATTCAGCTTCAGTGGATGCTGTATATTATGCCAAAGGGAGATATTTTTCTCTAGCTTTTTTCACATTATGTATAACTCTATACACCTCCATCATTTTCCGCCCCTTAGTTAAAAATCCCCGACTTTTCTTCATAAAGAAGTTGCTTCAGTCCTTTGATCAACCATGCCCTACAACCTGCTCTACGATATACTTTTGTGGTGAAGTGATCAGAATTATACACAAGATTCAAGATGCAGTCCCATGGATTTTAAAAGGGCAGATTGGCAATGGTATATTTATTTTTCATTCTCAAAACAATTATGTCAACAATTAATTTGCCTTCTTTGATAGCAACTGCACATTGAGCTGTCACCCTTATGGAGCTCTAGACACAGTCCTAAAGTAACTTTTTTTGACCAGTCACTGCCGTAAGTGCATATGAGATATTGATTTTTTTAAAATTCTCAACAGGTATCATTTTACACTTGACTCTCTAATTTAATTTGCTATCTTCTTTCCCAGTCTCCCAGTTTGTTGGAGCATTTGGATCTCTTCACACTCCGTTTTTGTTGCTCAAAGGGAGGAGCTCAAAGGGACGAACTTCATTAAGGGTTAGGGCTTCATTAAGGATGGGGGGAAAGTGCATCATGAGGACGGCTCTGTAGATGGAACAGACAGAAATGGGATATATGATCACTCTCCAAAGGCACATTGGAAGAGCCAAGGTTTTAAGTCTTTCATAAAGGCTGCTAGGGTGGGGGTCTTGCCTAATCTCAACAGGTAGCGAGTTCCAGAGCCGAGGGGCCACAGTGGAGAAGGCTCTCTCCCTTGTTCCCACAAGTCATACCTGTGATGGAGGAAGGGGTGAAAAGAGGGCCTCCCCAGAGGATTGAAGAGATTGTGCAGGTTTATGGTAGGAGATGCGGTCACGAAGGTAGGCGGGTCCCAAACCGTTCAGGGCTTTATAGGTGATAATCTGCACCTTGAATTGGGACCGGAAAATGAACAGCAGCCAATGGATCTCCTTAAACAGGGGGGTAGACCGCTCCCTGTCTGGCTGCCGAACGTTGGACCAATTGGAGTTTCCAGGCCATCTTCAAGGGAAGCCCCATGTAGACTGCCTTGCAATAGTCCAGTCTAGAGGTAACTAAGCTGTGGACCACGATGGTCAAGTCAGACTTCATGAGGTAAGGTTGCAGCTGGCGCACGAGTTTTAATTGTGCAAAGGCCCTCCCAGCCACCGCCAACACCTGTGGATCAAGCGTCAGTGCTGAGTCCAGGAGGACCCCCAAGCTGCGGACCTGTGTCTTCAGGGGAGTGCAATCCCGTCAAGCACAGGTGGCCACCCTATACCCCAGGCAGACATGCGACTGAACTGGAGGACCTCTATCTTGTCGGGATTAATCTTCAACTTGTTCACCCACATCCAGATCGTCACAGCAGCCAGGCACTGGTCCAGCACCCAAGGGGCTTCCTTGGATTCTGGTGCAAAAGAGTAGTGGAGTTGGGTGTCATCTGCATAGAGATGGCACCGAACTCCAAAACTCAGGATGGCTTCTCCCAGCGGTTTCATGTAGATGTTAAATTGCATCCTATTACTCTAAAATTGTATCTTCCTCCTAGACTATTGTGGTAATCTACAACTGATTGTCCTGAACATACAGGACAATTGGTTGTATGAGCTATGAAATACACACCAGTTAGTTCAAATGAAACAGGAAAATGAAGATCAGAAAGTCATCAGTTTAGGAGGTAGAAGAGAACTGTAAGGAAAGATAAAAGGCACAGTAACATAGGTCCAAAAGCAGACATTTGCTGATAGACCTGATTCTGTTCATGAAATCAGGAGAGGAGCAATCTCCTGTTCACACAAGTACTTCTCCAATTCTTAAAGATGCCTGTTATATACTTACTTTTTAAAAAATGCATCACAAAAGCCAAACACAAAACTCTTCATATTGATAGTAGACAGGACATTCACTAAAGAAACTGAAAAAAGGAAGTGCTAAACTGCAGAAGATACAAATTACAACTCCATATTGAATTTCTTTTGCCTATGACAGAAGCTTCATAAATCCAACTTCAAAAAGGCTTCTAATTAGCTCTGTATCACTTTCTATTTTGCCAGTCACTTACTCTGAGAAACAGAATTTGCAGCCCTTCTGTGCTGATGCTAAAAGGATCTGTCCACAACTGTACTAGATAAAGAGGACAAGCACCATTTCTCTATTAACATCCCTCCATATTTGTGTAACACAGGGCTACATTACTGCAACATTATCTTTGTGGGCCATCTTTGAGTACTTTTCAGAGATTTAAACTGGTGCAACAGATAGTCGTTTACCTCCTGACCAACCTAGGTCAATAACTACAACTGACACCCATGCTTCAGCATTTACACTGCTTTCTCTTTACTGTTTGGACACAATCCCAAGTGCTGAATCAACATCTAGACTGTGTGAGGTCTATCCCATCACCACTCCAAGTGCTTACAGATTTTACAATATTTCAAGAATGCAGTTTGGCTTGTTCTATTTGTGCTGCAAACCTGAATGGCAAGTATCAAGATATCCTAAATGGTTGGCACTGGATAATTCTCTCTTTTCCCTGAAACACTTAAAAGACCGTATTTCTGAATTGCAATTAACAGCTAATCTTTAAGCAGCCATGGAGAAGTGTTTGCCTCGTTTACCTTACTTTGCTGATTTTATTACACATACAAGGAATGGGTCCAAAATAAATACCTAAAAATGAAATAATTATTTACAGCTTGCATGTCCATGATTGAAAGGACATGGTAACAATTGCAATGCCTCTTTTGGGACATTTATTCAATGTTGTTTGAAGTTGGAAATTTGCTTCAATGAAATAAAAGCAACAAAAATTAGAACAAAAAAAGCTATCAAGTAATTCAAAATGATTGTTTAATTTTCTTTTTAAACAACAATGTCTTCTATTCAGGCATGAGGTATATTCTCTTTGTTAACAAATTAATTAAAAGGACAGCACCACTGTGCTCATTTCAAATCGTAGAATATTTTGAACATGAAATATATTCCAAGTTTCTTTAGACCAAAGTTATATTAATTTTCATAACCCCTCACTCATGCATACTATATCTGCCTTACATAATCTTGTCTAATATCAATACTTGCCTTTATATTCAGGAAGTTCCAATGGGATTTCCCAATAGCATTGTGTCAAGTGATGAAGTGTTTTTACATTCTTCCTTATTGCAGTACAGATCTAATTCTGCACACAAATAGCTAAACTGCTTACTGAATGTACAACTCTGAGATAGTTAATAAAACCTGCAAGGGGTGTGTGCTGTAAAATAGGTGTGGAAAAGGAAACACCACAAACTGAGACATGGTGTCTAGTATCTCATTGCACACAACTAGGCGTCAAACTTTTAGTATCTAGTTCACGTAAAAGCCACCAGTGGCAGATATATGTTCCTCCGTCTCTCCAGCTAATGCTTGATATTCCTAATTTCAGCTCTTTTAAACATTATTTTTAAAAGCATGTTTTTCTTATCACCCCCCTCTATCACATATAATCAATTTGCATGCTAGATTTGCAGCCCAAGCACAGGAGGAAGCTAAAGAGAAATTTTCTGTCAAGCTGAGTCATTTCTTCCTTGTGCATCATCCCAGATCAATAAATTTTGCTATTGAAGGACAAATTGTGCAACTGTGTTGCCTAAGTGGGTCTGTAGAAATGTAACCTGAACCTTAAACAGTTCTGTTAAGGAAGCAGCAGAATGAATACTCTTTCATTGCCCCTAACATTATTCATTAAGAGTTGCAATAAAAATAAGAGAGAAACATATCATTACATGTTCTGGACACATGTTGTTGCCAACTTTGGAAATAATTTTCCTTTACAGACTACTACAATTTCAAATGTTGTTTGACTCTCAAGCACTAGAATAGAAGATTTGAGTCCCCTGGGTTCATTTTTTCCTACTACAAACAAAAGTTGTCCCACTATACTTATTGATTTATGCCATCACTTCATCTAATTGAATATAGATTCCATGCCACCTGTGGTTATTTTAGCAAAGTGCTTCAAACCGTAACTGATAGGCTCTGGTTGTCACAGATTGGGCTGTTTAGGAAAAATTAGGAAGGCACCAGAACACTCTGGACATATCCCACAAAGTAAGAGGTATATGTTTTGTTTAATTTAATATGCTTGTATTTTACTTTTATCACAGCTTGTGTTTTTTGGTCTGGAATATGTTTAGAACATAATAATAATCATCATCATCATCATCATCATCTTTATTTATATTCCGCCCTATCTCCTCGTAGGGACTCAGGGCAGATTCCAAACATAAAAGGTGAACATTAAATGTCTGAACATAGTAACAATACACCCATAATAATGAAAATTGATAACCCACATTTGATTCTTCACACACTCTTTTGGATATGGGACATTTTCATACCCCACTAAATAGTATTACTCTCACTAGGGAGAAATAACAGTTCACAACATATACATTACAAGTGTTCTTTTAAAATATATATATTATTGTATTGGAGGACTAAGCTCTTGCCTTTCTCTACTCAGAGAAGGGGATGGCTCCTTTTTTTAAAAAAAATAAGAGTTAAGGTACAGTTCTCTTTCTGACCTGTATATAAATCAGCCCATTTTTATCAATTTCTAGGCCAAAATTCCTAAACTTATATGCAAGATATAT